CGTAGCTGCCTTAAGCCACACTGGACTCGTCTGTGTGGGCAGGCGGGTGTATGTGTATGTGTGTGATCAGGGGTTGTAGAGGGGAAAAAAGAAGGGGGGTGGGTGGTGGTGGTGGTAGACTTAGCTTCGAGAATTTTGGTTCATTGACCTCTCTCTGGCACTTTTACTCTCTCTCTCTCTCTCTCTCTCTCTCTCTCTCTCTCTCTAACACACACACACACACACACACACACACAAACACACACACACACAGTGTCAAGCTCTCTCATTCCTACCCTCTCACCTTTCTCTTTCTCACTCTTCTCTTCTTGCACTTAATCGTCCTTTCTGTCTCTCATTCTTCTCTCTCTCTCTCTCTCTCTCTCTCTCTCTCTCTCTCTCTCTCTCTCTCTCTCTCTCTCTCTCTCTCTTGAGCATGACCCAACCATCTGGGTGGTCACTACTTTCTTATTTTAGAATTAAACATTAAAAAGTACAGTGACAATTTAACAGCCAAGTGCAAGTTTTAGTAAAAGTTTTCCGGCACTTGCAACACAATAAGGTTATGTAAATTCCGAAGTTTAGGGGCGTTACAAAAGAGTAACAAACACAAAAAGAAGGAGGGAAGATATAAGGACGATCGATGTTTGAAAGGATAGGAGAAAACCACACCAGAGCGCCCGCCAACCACCCACAGTCGACGAAGTCTAAAGTCAGTTTAATTAATTTTAGTAAGAGTTTTACGGGACAAGCAACACAATAAGGTCATATAAGTGCCGAAGATTAGAGGTGTTACAAGAGAGTAACAAACACAAAAAAAGGAGAAGAGATCAGGACGATAGATGTTTGATAGGAGAGAAGGAGCAAACCACACCAGAGTGCCCTCCAACCACCCACAGTCGAAAAAGTCTAAAGTCAGAAGTTGACACGACCTAGTAGAATCTATGAAAGTTGGACAATGCTAGAGCAACTATGTAGGGAGAGATAAGTGAGTGGACCACTGGTGGACTGGCTGGTGTCGAGGGGAGCAAGGGAGCGCAGCGCGGGGGGCAGGGCCGGTCGGTAGGGCTGGGCAATGAGTCGCTTTAGCAAAATCTGGATACTATGTTAGTGCATCTCTTCGGCAAATAATAATATGATATGAACAGGCAAATGGGTGAGAACTAGTGCTGGGCGGCTAGGTTCCCATTTATTGAAAGCTAGGAATCGTAGGAATCGACTCCGAACCCAATTACTTACTTTCTAATGAAGTGATCTATTCCGGTGGTTACCTGGTTGGCTCCGAATATCTTCAGGATAAATTCAGGATAACCTTAATTTCGGAACACTACGAAGCATCAACTTATATTTTTCAAAAATACTTTCTGTAAAAAAGAAAAAAAGAAAAACGATTTTTAATGATTAACGTAACTGGTAAACGTCGGTTTTGGTAAAAAGGAGTCGAATTTTCTTCCGTAGCATTACTTGGAGGAATCGGTTTGTTTGTCTGTCTGTCTCGTTTTAGATTGTCTGTGGGATGTTGGCAGGTGCTCTGCTCCTTCTTTCCAATCAAACATCCATCGTCCATATCTCCCCTTTTTCTTTTTTATGTTTGTTACTCCCTTGTAACACCTCTAATCTTCTGGCGCTCATGACCTTATGCAGTTGCGAGCGCCGTAAAACCTCTAATAATTTTATTTTTTTAAGGAATCGGTTCCGGAATTGTGTCTTCACCCAGCTCTGGTGAGAACCACTTCGACGTAAGAGTTAGTAAAACTTCAACAAATGGGTGCACCCACTTCGGAAAACGGGTCAGGAAAGAGGGTTACGAGTCTGAATTCGGTTAATGTTTCATTGAGAATTATCCGGTTATCCTTATAGATTATCCGGATTTTGCCCACCTCTACAGGTCGGGGGCTCAGGGCTACTCGCCTGGCACTGGCTGCTCTGTGCTCTCTATTGCTGAGCGCTGGGC